CTGGCTGCTCAGTCAGTAGAGCATGCGACTCTTGGTCTCGGGGTTGTGAGTTCGAGTCCCATGTTGGGGGGGTAAAGGTTACTTTAAAATAAAATCTTTTAAAAAAATGTGATGGGAAATAATCATTCCCGTTTTGTTTGTAAAAGGAGAAATGGGAAAAATAAGATACAAGTTCATCAAAAGGGTACTGTTTTGAGCTAAACCACTGTACATCCATATGCGTAGAGTGATGTAAAATTAGAAAGAATCCTGAGGATCCACATTTTTAGATGTGAAAAGAGCTCTTGGACATATTAAATTGTCGCGAGGAAGCTAAGGACCCATAAGCATAGGATGATACAATTATTTTGTATAATTTGCTCAATTTCATTGAGTAAATTTGGCTTTTTGTTCTTTTGGCATACGGTTCTTTGAATTTTGACATGGTTGTTTTTCATGCCTCAAGTTCATTAACAAACATACCGGGTATGTTGAATTCAAGCATTTGAAAAGAGATCGCACCTCTTAAAATGTTCCTTTTCACATCTGCTTAATGGATTACTTAAAACATTCTTATTTCTCGAGCAGTCGGTGTCTTACTATAAACAAAGGTGCAGTGAATCCAGATCCAAAGTACACAGTCATCATATTTAGTAACCACCACTTGTTTTCCACTGAAAATGGCAAATTCTCCCCTGGACCCTCCTCAGAGTGGCTCCTACAGACCACAGAGGCTGTGAACCTCCAGATGCTCTGTCCCAACATGGTGCGGTTGGAAGCTGGGCAAAAGGCACGACAGACACCCAAGACGAAAGATACCGTAGCACCACACCAAGTCCCCGCCTTACTCCCCGGTGTTGAATTTTGACACGTTTAGATTCGTGTAACCACCGCCACAAACAGAACATACAATAATAGCTTCATCACCTAAAAAATACCTCTTTCTATTCAAACTCTCATCCCACCACAACCCCCAGCAACCATTGATCTATTTTCCATCACTGTGGTTTTGCTGTTTCCTAGGATACCCGCTGAATGAAATGTTCTGTGACTGGCTTCTCTCACTCAGCTTGTCTTTCAGGTCTATCCAATTTTCCATGTGCATCAATGACTCATTCCTCTTTCCTGCCGAATAGTATTATATTCTAGAGATCTAGTGCAGATTTTTTTTTTTCTCCTTTCACTCATTGAGATCATTTGGGTTTTTCCAGTTTAGGGCTGTCACAAAGTTGCTATAAACATTTGTTTATAGGTTTTTGGGTGGTCCTAGGTTTTCATTTCACTAGGGCAAATACCCACATGTAGGACTGCTAGGTCCAATGGGAAGTTGATGTTTAACTTTAAAAGAAACTGACAAACTATTTCCCAGAGTAACTGGGCCATTTTGCATTCCCACCAGCAATTCAAGAGATACAATTTTTTCCACATCCTCGCCAGCAATTGGTGTTGTTGGGATTTTTATTTTAGCAATTCTTATTAACGTTGTTTTAAAATGTTTTAAATGTTTTGAATGTTTTAAAAATTCACAGCTGGGGCGCCTGGATGGCTCAGTCGGTTAACTATCCAACTTCAGCTCAGGTCAGGATCT